GACATTACGCGCAATGCAGGTCATTGCTCGAGTAGGTTGTCAGTGTCAGTGGCACATGGGGGAGATCATGTGACGACGAGGAGATGAGAGATTATAGTCAATCGTGGACCCATCTGAAGGGGATATCAGCGAATAGAACAAAGTGGAAATATGTTGTTGAAGCCCTATGTCCCACTCGGAACTTGTAAAGAAGGTCATCTAGCTATCAAACACAGCAACTATGCGCAGAAGAAAAGCGTATGTAGGTGAAAATTCCCTATTACTTTTATAACTTAGGTAGTATAACTTAAGCACCCGGTTTCAAAATGCATTTGTGTGTTGAAATGAACTGAAACCAACCGACATGTTGTTAGACTATTTAAGCACATTAGAATAAATGTGTCCAAAGACCACTTTGCTGATAATCGTATTTCTTTTGAAAGACAGCAACATGTCGTTTAAAGTCAGTGTTGGAATCTAGCTCTGTATTGAAAATATTTGATATATGCTAATTACTATTTGTGAAATCACCAGTGTCAAGCTGTTACTGAATTTTGATAGACCTGCGACTCATTGGTGTATGATTACTTATTCGCATTACTTCATTTACTGCTTATCTGTAAGCTTTTATATAAAGTTACTGGATTTATGTTAACAGTTGGTTAATTAAGACGAGACTGCTATAAATATACATTAAAGCATATGATGAAATTCCTAGACCATACTGGTGAAGTACCTACAGTAAAGAGTTTTAGTTATGACTGACCACAAGACTAAATAGTACTTCGAGTGCTTCGAGTTTGAATCACTTTCAAAGTTGAAAAAACTTATTGTCCAGTGACTCATATTCGCTTCAAACAGTAATAAGGCACTAACAGATGTTAAACTATTATCAATACACTTCATTTTACGGTAGCATTAAATAAAATAATCCTTCAAAATGAAAATAGCTTAGATTTGAGTTTAGTAGAATCTGCTCGATCATATGTTACAATGTAAGTCTTTAGTCGTATATGAATTACAATTACTATCAGTAGATCAGTAACAATATCTATAAATATTAAATAGATCAGATTGTATGATTTGTCGTTCTGCTCTTTTGAAATCTGACTAACCGAATTTCAACATAGGATACTGCACAGAATTACAGAAGCTCAGATTGCCACACTCCATCATGGCATACAAAAGTAGACAAAAAAGAGAAACACGGAGATTCAAAAGTACTTTATCGAGTGGCAATGTGAAGGAGAAAGGACAGTAATGTGGATATGGATGGTTGCAAAGAGTGAATCCATCTGCGTCACTGAAAAAGATTTCGAGCCATACCACCAGTTGTCTCTATCCTTTGGTTCTTAGCACCCAAAGAGCCCCAGTAAAGCAGCCTACACCTCATTTTACGTTGTTCAAACCAACTGTCAAAGTCTTCATGGACTGATTTCAGGTTTTGATATGACCACCGCTAACTCTTCTCCAACCTAGTCTAATGCCGGCTAACATTGTTTGTCAATGAAGACAACGTCTTGGCATGCGTAACACGTGTCCTACACATCTCAGATGATTTACCTTTACAACCTCATCGACTAACTCGTTCCCTTACCTAGCCTCAATATTACTCACCATTTTAAAGCACTTAACACCGCAGGTCAAGCGCAAATATCTCTGGCCAAAGACAGATAGTCTTTTCATATCACTCACTTCCAACGGCCATGTCCTACAGCCATAAAGAAGGAGAGACAGAAATGGTGTGGAGTATATGCATCCTTTAATCGAATCCAAATAAGTGAAAAGGGTCAACACACTCTACCACTTCACTGCCCATCTTAAAACCTGCAGCTGGTGCAGAATAGTCTTGTAAAATCAACTTACATTTGACAGGAGAGAATCACATGCCAAACATTCGAAGATTTCTATTGAGAGTCATTTCACTTAGAGGGACAATATCATCCGCATATTCTAAGTCAACAATACTGTTCTCTGGTAACAAGCCAATCCTTAAGTGGCCAAATTCATTTTCAGGCAATTATATTAGTATATTTATGATGCAGTTAAACAGAAATGGGAGCAGTGGGCTTCGCTGACGGACATCACTGGTTGTCATCACTTCGGATAACAAATCTCTATAAAGCCTTACACGGCTAGTATTAAAACTAACGAGTCATAATTCTAGTGAATTTTCTTATAGTACAACAAGTATAATGTTAATTATAGACTTTTTTAAATAAATCTGCCTGAAAATTTTACTCTGCAATAATTAATCTACTTTATATAAAATTTATCATAAATCTTCTATCAGTTAAATGAAACTTTTTTCACTTCCAATATGGCCTAGTTTAATTTACATTTTTCAATTGATTCATGTCAGAAGTTTTGTAAGAATAAGGTCAAGCAATTTACTCTTAGTACAGTGAACGTGTTTCTTAAAATGTGAAAGTAACTTATTAGAAAAAATAATTATGCTATTAGAAGTTACAAGTATCTTATATCACTTGATAGGCAGTTACAAACACTCCGCTTTAATTACGTTTTCTGCATTTGATATTAACATTATTTTAAAACAAAATCCCATGAGTTTCACACCTGGTTCCTGTAGTCCTCATTATTCTTTATTTGAAGTAAGGGAATGAGAGCTTCCAGTTGCCTGGAAGGAGTGGTGTAAAATCGTCTCTACTTTATGTGTTTCGCGTTTCATTTGTTCAGTTCAGTTTTTTGTAGTCCTTCGTTCGAAATTACTTAGTTTCAAAGAGACCTATCTTCAAATTCAGACTGTTGAGTGTAAGAAGGACCAGGCATTTCACACCAAATCTGTATGTGCTGCTCAGATTTTCTCTAAATATGTTTGTTCATAAAACGTTATGTACACCCCAAGATTACCAGTCTCTACACCATCGTGGAAGTTATCTCCTTTGAATTGATAATTAGGTTGTCTGGCAATAAAACAATCGGCTTAAACCGTCTTTTTTTATGTGGTTGTGTCCTCTGAGCTGTATAGTTTATTTGCGAAGCTTTCATCGCCCTACTAGGCGACATCTTCAGCGCATACTTCAATTCGTTGAAGTGAGCTTTTAGATTACTCCACGAGTTTATTAACCATCTCTCCTGGTGACCTTGGACGTGATTGGTTGTTTTTGTGTGTTTTCACATCTTCTAGGTTACTTGTATTGGAACTGATTGTTTCTTTGGCTTGAACTTTGACCCCTTGTGTGTGAGATTTCCTTCTTATCGGCTGATAAATTTTGTCTATCTCGATATGTCTATTGATTGACGACTCACTGGAATACCAGGCCTCTAAAAATTCTCTAGCATTCTTGTTGTTTCCTCTGTCTAATATTTGAATGTTGTCTCAGTCGAATTGATGTCCATGGTTGCCTGCATGTAGTGATATGAGGGAGTGGATATCATGTCTTTTGACGGCTAGCTTATGTTCGTGTATACGAAGACGAAGGGGACGTCCACTTTGGCCAATGTAGTGTTTTTCGCAGTTGTTACAGTTTATTTTGTAGATGATGCTGGTTTTATCTTCTTTCGCTGTTGAGTCTTTCGGTTGACATAGAAATGGGTGAAGTGACTTTGTTGGTTTGTGTGCGACGTCAATTCCTAGAGGTATGAAGAGTCTTATTGTAATTTCTGAGATATCCTTTATATATGGTAAGGCGATTTTCTGTGTGCTTTCCTTTGGGGCTTTTGGTTTGATAGGTTGGCTCGGGGGTATATGTCTTTTGATGGAATCCCTTGGATATCCATTCTTTTGGAAGACGTCCATGAGATACTTTTCTTCAATTTTTCTTAAGGTCGGAGTGCTGCAATGAGTCCTTGCCCTCCTGAATAGTGTTTGTATGCAATTCTTTTTGTGTGTTATTGGATTGTTGCTGTTGTAATTCAGTATTTGGTATGTGTGAGTTGATTTTCTATAAACTTGAGTTTCTAATTCTCCTGTATTTGTTCGCTTGACTAAGACGTCCAAGAATGGGATTTTGTTCTCGGATTCCTCTTCTCTTGTGAATTTGATGTCGTTGAAGACGTTGTTTATTAAGTTGTGAGTTTTATCTAACTCGTTTCTTCTGATTAATAAACTTGTGGAGAAATCCAAAAGCTCACTTCAACGAATTGAAGTATGCGCTGAAGATATCACCTAGTAGGGCGATGGAAACTTCGCAAATTAACTATCCAGCTCAGAAAACATAACCACATCAAAATTATCCACCTGAGCTACAAATCTTCTCTATCCTATTTAAACCGTCTTTATCTTGAAAGGATTAAAGTTGTTTACGCCATATCCTGTGTTAGCATGGCGATATATGGCCGTGCAAAGCTTAGAGTTGTGCTCCGTCTTGATCTTATCTGTTTTGCTCTGTCTTCATAAAATTCAAACTGTTTTTTTTGTCGGTAATTTTAATTTCGATTACGTTGAATGTTGTCGTAATTAGCTATTCACATTTTGTTATGATTATTGAACTATCGTTTTTATTTTTCTGTTCAGTATTATTAGAATGTTTAAAAAAATAATCTTTATTTTCATACTAGATTACTGGCAAACATTTAGTAATGGAACAATTGAGCATTTGAATTACTTAACAGCCAACAGTAAGTACAGTATTTTTCTCTTAAAGTTGGTTGCTATATTGGGGTGAAGAAAAATTTGCATATCTTCACTGCAAATTTTTTATCATATGCTCATTTTAAAATTATAAATTTAATGGATAGAATAGGTTGGTAAATTACACCGTTAAATTGTAAAATGTAAGTATTTTATTAGGTGAACCAACTATGCTGCCTCGCCACTCTGGGGGAAGCGGGTCGGAAAAGGTTGTCCTCGAAAATGGTACATCCTGACTCACTCTTCAGTGGCCCGTAGGTGGCGGTAAGATTTTCATGTGGACAGAGCTCCAAAAGTCAACTTGGGTTCATGTGCAACCGGAACCAGAACAACACTGCCAATAGTCTGTTTAAACCAGGTTGCCAACTTTATACTGAAGCGTTTAACCGCAATACCATATTCCACATAGGGTGGCAGGCTCTACTGCCTAGTAGTAGTAGTAGTAGTAGTAGTAGTAGTAGTAGTAGTAGTAGTAGTAGTAGTAGTAGTAGTAGTAGTAGTAGTAGTAGTAGTAGTAGTAGTAGTAGTAGTAGTAGTAGTAGTAGTAGTAGTAGTAGTAGTAGTAGTAGTAGTAGTAGTAGTAGTAGTAGTAGTAGTAGTAGTAGTAGTAGTAGTAGTAGTAGAAGTAGTCTCGAGCCATGATTATGTGTTGCTTTTCGGAGGCGCCCAAGTAAGGCTGTTCACTTAACCTCACCTGTCCAGCTTGATGAATCTGTAAAATTCGCCTTGGGGATGTTCCGAGATTCTTTGGGTAGGTCATGTGGACTCACGGTTGTAGGGATAGCATTAATTGCTATAGTATAAAAATTTCCAGTTAACTAGATTCCAGTGGATAGTCTTATATATGTTATCCAGCTGAACGGATTCGTTAGTGGAAGGAAGTGGAATTATTCAGTCAATATGAAATTTGTCTAAAGTATTATCGATTGTGTACGGACACTGCAGCTAGTCATTGTTGTACACCCTCTCAGATGGTGTGCATTTTTGTCATTCTTATTCTGACATTTTTAGAGCTTTTACCATTTTTAGTGATTTAGTTTTTAATAACATTATAATGTCATATAAATTGTGTATTGCACTTTGATATCATTCATATTTACATCATATTGAATCCATTTTAAGCAACAACTTTTATTTTAATTTGCAGATAGCATTTTCCAGATATTTGGCTTGAGTGTTTCCGGTACAGTTTTTCTCGTCATTGTTATTGTGGGATGTATACTCACCTTCTCGATCGATGCCTTTTTATTGCACCTAATGATTTTCCATATTTATCTACGTAAGTTTGTTTACTTATCTGTAGGTTGAATGACTTTTATTTGTTATAATGATTTGTTTTATGAAGGTAACAGAGTGTGTAACGGGACAAGATAAAATACTTGGTAACTGGCCTTTATTATGGAAAAACACATCATATTTATACATTCTTTGCCACATTACAGTTCGACTAGGTTACAGGAGGATACATTGTTCTGATTGGTTGACGGCTGGTCCAAGGTTAAACAAGTTGTCCAATGAGGTTATTTCGTGTCCACAACGTAAACTAAATCCGTATTTGAGGAAGAAACATTGCTACCTCTGCAGCCATTGACTTAAAATAATGATTTCAGTTTTGACCGCTTCCTGTTAACCTGCATCACGCTACATATAGACTTTTATAAAAAGGATTCCTCATATGTTGGTTACATTAGTTGACTATGTTGAATATTCAGTCTGACGATGAAGTCTGGAAATGTCAATTACTTAAAGATTTTAAGGTTATAACTATGTCTGAATTTAGATTCCCTGGAAAACCAACTGATTAAGTCTCCATATTTCATGATATTATGTAACAGGTCGCCGTAATCTAGCTATAAATTACTACTAGTTGACCTGATTAGTTCCAAACTGCTTGCTCTATCCAGTGATATATACCTTGAATTAATATGCTTCAGAAATAAAAAGGCAATCACCGAAGCTTTATGACTGCTAATGACTTCATACAAGTCTTGTAACTGATAAGTGTCGCGATGTCTGAGGATGGTGATTAGCAGTGGGATCCGGGATGCGCATTTCGGCTGAATATTTTGATCAAGTCAGTCAGTTGGGAAAATTAGAAAGAAATACACATCCTGGATTCTACTGCTCGTCGTCATCTACCAAATAACCTGACGATGTATTATTCAAGCATTTTGACACGGGACGGAGTGTAAGCAGTAGAAGCATGAAGCCTGTTTTTAAAGTTAGGCTATTGAGGTGTCTACTGATTCAAAGAAAAACTACCTTTTCAGGCTGCTAAAGAAGGGCCTTGCGAGAAACGGCATGGAATCGTGCTCTTATCCACACAAAGTAAAGTACCTAGTCACATCATCCTGGAGAGAAAAGAAGAAGAAGAAAAGAACTCTACCAGCAGAAGCAAGTTGAATTGAGGAAAGGAAATTGATGTTCTGACCAAATTGAAATTCAACGCATCGTCATCGGACAAAGTACAGAATGGCAGTCAAACCTCTACCTCAACTTCATAAACTTCGAAAAGGCCTTCAACAGACAGCGTTAACCGAGAAGTAATTTGGAAACTGGTTAAACACGATGGCGTGCAGTGCCGAAGTCTTTATCAACCTCATTCAACAGCTGACTATATGACAATGCCACGTGTCAGATGATCCACAATGAAAAACTCGGCGAGGCATTTGAAGTGAATACAGGGGTAAGACAAGGCTGCCTATCATCACCGATAATATTCTTAATATGTTGGCCTGGACCATGCGTCAGACTGTATATGGGAGCGAGAAGACAGGACCACGTTGGACCAAAAAGGAGACTCTAGAAGATCTGGATTTCGCGAATCGATGATTTATGCCTAATATCACACAAACTCGAAGACTTACAGGCGAAAAAAAACAAAATAACTTAAGAGGCAGACAATGAAGACAGGAATCCAGATGAAAATAGAGAAGACGGAGGTGGTGAAGATAACTAACCAACCAACCAACCAACTGCAACGACAACCAGCACCAATCATCCACCATCAACGAGAGAAAAACTTAACAGAGGTTACTTTATTCACTTATCTAGGCAGCACGGTTTCAAACACAGGCAAATGGCACTGATGAAGAAGTCAAAGCCAGAATTGGAAAAAAAAGAGACACTACATCAACCTGAAAGCAGTTCGGAAGTCTTCTGCACTCAGCCAGCATAAACAATAAGATTCGGATTTTCAACACAAATGTCAAGTCAGTCAATCAGTTTTTCTATACGGGTCAGAAACTTGGTCAGCGTATCACGAAAAGGATTTCCAACAGGCTAGTGTAGACTTTTATCAACGGCTGCCACCTTCGCTGGCTAGCTCCATACTGAAGATCAATTGGTCAGCCAGCCGGTGAGCAAGAATTAGCAACAAGAAACTCTGGCTGACAACAAACCAACCAAGAGCTTATTGCTCAACGAATATATATCGGATAAAGTGGAGATTGATTGGGCATACTTTTAAGGAGGCCGTCGAATGACAATGCGTACAATGCAGGCCACAGCTTAAGTGGAATCCCAATGGGAAGCTAAGATTGGGTGGTCAGTGCGAGAGTGACACGGAGGAGATGAGAGATTAGGGGCAGTCGTGGACTCATCTGAAGAGGGTAGCAGTGAGTAGAATAAAGTGAAGATGTGTTGTTGAAGCCTCATATTCCACTCGGAACCTAAGGAAATAATAACAATTAAAAGAATTAGTCCCTTTGATATAAGTCCCTTTTATAAATTTGGATAGCGTTATTAAAAGGCGGAGATTATCTGAAAAATTGTGATGTATTTGCATTATACATTTCGAACCATCTGATCACACATTTACTTGTCAAGTCGGTATATATATATATATTTGATGTGGTTTTGTTCTCTGAGCTGGATGGTTAGTTTGCGAAGCTTTCATCACCTTACTGGGTGACATCTTCAGCGCATACTTCAATTTGAAGTGAGCTTTTAGGTTTCTCCACGAGTTTATTAATCATTCCTCCTGGTGACCTTGGACGTGATTGGTTGTTTTTGTGTGTTTTCACACCTTCTAGGTTACTTGTATTGGAACTGATTGTTTCTTTGGCTTGAACTTTGACCCTTTGTGTGTGAAGTTTCTTTCTTATTGGTTGATAAATTTTGTCTATCTCGATGTGTCTATTGATTGATGACTCACTGGAATGCCAAGCTTCTAAAAATTCTCTAGCATTCTTGTTATTTCCTTTGTCTAATATTTGAACGTTGTCCCAGTCGAATTGATGTCCGTGGTTGTCTGTGTGTAGTGAAATGAGGGAGTGGATATCATGTCTTTTGACGGCTAGCTTATGTTCGTGGATACGAAGACGAAGGGGACGTCCACTTTGGCCAATGTAGTGTTTTTCGCAGTTGTTACAGTTTATTTTGTAGATGATGTTGGTTTTATCTTCTTTTGCTGTTGAGTCTTTTGGTTGACATAGAATTGAGTGAAGCGACTTTGTTGGTTTGTGTACGACGTCAATTCCTAAAGGTTTGAAGAGTCTTATTGTAATTTCTGAGATATCTTTTTTATATGGTAAGGCAATTTTCTGTGTGCTTTCCTTGGTGGCTTTTGCTTTGGTAGGTTGGCTTGGGGGTATATGTCTCTTGATGAAATTCCGTGGATATCCATTCTTTTGGAAGACGTCCATGAGATACTTTTCTTCAATTTTCCTTAAGGTGGGAGTGCTGCAGTGAGTCCTTGCCCTCTTGAATAGTGTTTGTATGCAATTCCTTTTGTGTGTTATTGGGTTGTTGCTGTTGTAATTCAGTATTTGGTCTGTGTGAGTTGATTTCCTATAAACTTGAGTTTCTAATTCTCCTGTAGTTGTTCGCCTGACTAAGACGTCCAAAAATGGTATTTTGTTCTCGGATTCCTCTTCTCTTGTGAATTTGATGTCGTTGAAGACGTTGTTTATTAAGTTGTGAGTTTTATCTAATTCGTTTCTTTTGATTATTACAAATGTGTCGTCGACGTAGCGTATCCAAATCTTGGGTTTGATCTTTGGTAGAATTATATTTTCGAGTCTTTGCATCACTGCTTCTGCAATCAAACCTGATATTGGCGATCCCATGGGTGTTCCTTTGACTTGTTCATATATTTGGCCGTTGAATTGGAAGTATGTTGTTAGGCATAGATTTATGCATTCCATCCAGCTTGTGTGTTGCATTTTTGATTGTTGTGGCAGTTGTTCGTCGTTGCTAAGTAATTGCTCCATGGTTTCTTTTGCTAGGTTTTGTCCGATGGATGTATATAATGCTGTCACGTCGAATGATACCATTATTTCTTGTTCATCTATTTGGATGCCTCTGATTTTCTCTAGGAATTGGATAGCAGAGTTGATGGAGTGATCGCAAGATTCCGTTAGGTGTTTTAGTTTTCTGTATAATTCTTTGGATAAATTATATGTTGGAGTTCCTGGGAGTGATACAATTGGTCGTAATGGGATATTTGCCTTGTGTATTTTGGGTCTGCCGTAGAATCGGGGTAGGACTGGTCCATTGGATTTCATTCGCCATTGGTCTTGTTTTGTGATCTGTCCAGTTTTGGTGAGCTTGTTTAAGGTCCTTTGGATGCGGTTATCCAATGTTTGTATGGGATTTGTTGGGAGTTGTTGATATACATCTTCATCTTT